ATTTAATATTGAGAATTGTGTACATAAATAACAATTACGAAAACTAATGTGATGATCATAATTATAGTAAAACAGTGATGACATATCATTACATTATGAAAATTCACAGCTCAAAGAATGGATGGAAATATTGTTGATAAATAAAAAATAAAGAATCAAAGCCTAGGTTATTGCTGTACCTTAAATGCTAGATTACGGATGATCAGACGGCCTTTTTTTAGCGAGGTTTGCGAGACTGTTGGTTTGTAGAAAGCTAGCAGAATAACAACCAAATTGCCACCATTGGATTTAACTTTTTTCAACAAAGGTTGAGCTGTTTTGGCATCGGATGGCGATTGATAACGAATGTATGCTAAGTTTTCTTCTTCCTCAGTCACTGGGAATTTAACTTCCTCTACATTTGCAGTCTGACTGTATGTAATACAAGAACATATAGCAAATCATTGAATACTAAATGATTTTGACAATTATATCGTAATATTTATTAAAGAAACTATATTTGTGTTAAAATCTGAAAGCAATAAAAATGAAATTGAATGCTCACTCAATGGATCAAATATATTTTCAACTTTGAATTAGAACACAGATTAAAATAATTCATCATTTTTTTTTTGGTGCTTTACTTTTTGTGTAAATGAGTGTGAACAGCATGGGATAGAGTTCAACACATGTTATCTGTCATTGCTGCTGGATAGATCTGATTAGAACCAAATTGTAAGCTGGCCACTATTAATCCTCTGGGGCATTTATTCAAATAAATAAGGTAATTTAAAAACAAATTAATAGATTGATTGGATACGTCTCCATCATGGCTGACAGTTCGTGACTTCTGTAATGACCCACCACTTATGTCGGTTCGCAGCTATTTCATACACCTTTGGTAGAGGTTGTCCAGCTAGAGATGTGATCCTGTTGATCCATCTGGACCTAGGACGTCCACGTCTTCTTGATCCCTCAATCTTGCCCTGCATGAGAACCTTTTCAAGGCAGTTATCTTGTCGTCTGGCTATGTGCCCAAAGTAGCGGAGAGCTTGACAGTTGAGTGTATTGATTAATCTTTTTTAGGATCAATTTCTTTTAAAACACTGGCATTTGTTCGTTTTACAAAAAATAAATATGTATAAATAAATAATGTACACGAAAATGTACACAAAATATGTATAATTTGAAGCAAAACACTTTCATCATTTATTCTTGTTTCCACTCCATGTGTATGAAAATTTCAAGAAGGTTGGTAAGCTAACTGAAAAAATGTGAAACTAACCTTGCTATCTCTACAACATCTTCTTTTGTGGCTTTTTTCGGAAGATTTTTTATGACTAATGTCCGTCGAGTTGTAATGGAAGTAATATCCTTCGGCTCTCTTTCTTTTATATCTTTATCTGCAATATCAATAAAAAAATGGTGATATTTTGTTTGTAAGCAAGTTGTGTAGCACAGTCATATTATGAGGCTCTGAGCTTTCAATCAAAGTTTGTGGGTTCGAGACCAATGCTTGAAACACTACTTGTGAACTTGGGATAGACACTTTATCTATGTTTGCTTCTCTCTTCACTCAGGAGTATAAATGGGTACGAGGTATGAGGCGAATGATGTGGAATAATTCTTAATTCACAAAGTATTGGAATAAGTTTGTTTTACATTAGAATTATCCTATTTATACAATTTTATGTTTAAATATCTTAATTCTTTAATTATACAGTATTTAATTAATTTTATATATATATTTTTGGATTTAATTTCTTTAAAGTTAAAATGATTTCTGATCAATGATTACATATTTTGTTATATCTATTTTGGTATTCCACTTACTTAGATATTTGCTTTCAGTATTTTGTTAATTTTGTTCTATTTTATTATAATTGACCTATTTTATTTATAATATTGTATTTATGTTAAACTGGATGAGTGAGGTTCACAGACTTCGTGTTATTGTGATTTAGTTTGCTTTTGTGTTCTTGCCAACTTATTCAGTTTATTGTACTTGTATTCTGTATGTATTCCACCACCATTGTATACCATTGGTTTTTTTTTTGGCGAATAAAGAATAAGATAAAAATCAGTAGTGCTGAATTATAACACACATGGCTAAGGGAGGGGAGGATTTTGCACATTGTGCATCACTGATTCTGTATTGTATTATTATTCCTGAATAAAAGCAAAACGTAGAATAAAATGGTGTTGTCAATTTTTGGAGGGACATTCATACTATTTGTGTGGAATAAGTCCTACATAAAATGTTTTGAATTAAAATCATATTAATTAATTCTTACGTATATTTTCATTCTCTTCTTCATCTTCACTTTCTCCTTCTTCTGTTACCTTCTTGCCTTTCTTTAGTTCATTTACTTTTTTCACACTTTTTCTGTCAGCAAATTTAACCACCAACTTTCTCCCATTGAGGGACTTGTTTGCATGGATAGCCTTCACAGCGTCTTCCCTGAAATTATTTTCAAAATTCATCAAATATGCCCAATTATAAAAGTGGTTGACTTTGGGGCAATTAACTAACAACAAGGAGGTATACATTTAATACCTCCTTGCTAACAACTTATAAACTTATAATGACCTCTAGCAACATGAAATTATAATTTAAAGCTACAAGAGAAGGCTAAGTGTTCATAGAGATCCAGTAACGATATAACAAGAGTAGTGTAATAAAGTGTTCAAGTACTGTGAAATAAAAATTATATTAAACTTAAGAATAAGAATATTACTCATACCTTGACGCAAATGTGACATATCCAAACCCTCTGCATTTGTCCTTTACACCTGAGAAAAATGAAATTTAACAAGAATGAAAGAATAATTAATGATAATTCCAAGGAGCAGACTGTATAGTAAAGATTGCTCGGGGAATATATCCTTTGCGCAAATATTTTGCCTAGAAATTCTTCCGCACATATCAAAAATAAGAGCCGATTTCCGCGCAGATTTTGCCAAAAATTATGCTCTGATTTAGTCTTAATATATAATCAATGCATTTAGCAGTAATAACGATTCTTGGCACTTGTTTTCTAGTCTCTGCACAAATTTAAGCTGGTTTTTGAGGTATTATCTACTGTACGCAATAAAAAAAAAAGGGGTGAAACCATTGGTAAAGTGCTCTGACCAAATATATAAGCAAAAAAAAAACAGCAAAAGGTTTGAGCAATTGACTTGATAAATCATTTCCTCCTAAAAAATGCATAGAGGTTGGAATGGTAGAGTGT